GTTAGGATCCCAAAAAGCGAGCATAGAACTTATTGAGTGCATCTGGCAATGAGGGATCCCTTGGGCATTGTACATCCCTGACGTTGTAGTTCATAATGCATTTGATGCCCTTCCACATGCACCGGGGGTCATTGGTAATGAAGTGATCCTGAATTTACTGGGCATATGTGGCTTTGGCCCTTGCAGTCAGTCTTTTCCTCACCTCTTGGGAGAACTGATGCCTCACCTGTCCTGAACGTGGCGTCCCTAGCTTTCAGCAGAGCTCTCACCTGAGCATTCAGCCAGGGTTTCTGATTCAGATAACAGGTTACTGTTCTGGTGGTGATAATATCATCAGCACAGTTGGAGATGAAGCCATGAACAGAGGAGGTGTATTCCTCCAGGTCCACCTCACCCGCATATGTAGTCACCTCTCTGAAGATCTGCCAATCTGTGCACTGAAAACAGTCCTGGAACACAGAGTCTACATCCCTGGGCCACACAGTAACTGTATTCTTTGTTGGTGTAGTGAACTTGACCTGATGTCAAAACTAAGCCTAAGGTCAAAACCCTTGACCTTAAGAACCTTGTGGGACAGAAACTGTCATTTCATTGATTTGAATCCAGAAATACAGGTTCACCCATCCTGAGACTTTCTTTCTTGAAAATCAAGTGAAAGAACACTCTCTTTTTTATTATCATTACTATTTTACAAATGTTGATAACCAAAGTGTTTTAGTTCAAACCATTTTAGATGTTGCAGTGAACTAATCAATTTTATTAACTGTAAAACAGTAACAATGATTTTTAGTTGCTTATGCAAAGTAGAATTCATGTTAAGGCCTGTTACAGAGTAATTATGCATTTTCTGATTTCTGTCTTTGAATGAGCAAGTGTGCGTTTTCTAAGGTTAGGAGTCGAAGCAGACATGTGTCTTGTTTTACATCCTCTCAGACGTCAACGGAGAAGTTGGCACCTGTTTCTCCAAACTCGCCAAAACAAAACTCTCTCTGTCTCTGAGAACAGTTTTAATCTGTTCCATAACAATTCTTGCTGTTTTCTGACTTCTAGTAACCTCTTACGTCACAAACCACACCCCTGTCTGGTCGACATTGACCAATCAGGAACGCTCAAATATACCGGAAATAGAGCCCTTTAAATGCTGGTACTTCCTAGTTCTCTCAGTGCGGTGAAGTGGCAGTTCTGAGATGTTCGCAGTTCTGTGAAGTCGTTGGTCTGTGAGTTGCCGTTGGAGTCGGCTGGAGAGTTTGCACCTCCAGTCGTTTGGGAGAACAGAAGTCCAGCCATGATAAGGCTCTTCCGAGTTTGGATTATAACATCTTCCACCTCTGAGTGGAACTTCTGAAGGACTCCACTCATGTGAAGTCCACTTGCTGAGGTGAGCTTGTGTCGGACGGAATCTCGTCGCTACTTCGGACGAGTCACAGCCATCCTATGGAGACGCTGGACAGGTAGCGTTAACTGGAACTCCGTATCTGCTGATTCATCTTCAGAGAGGTAACGAGTCAAGTTTACTACCGAGCGTACCGAGGAAAAGCTGGGTTCGAATGGAGAGTGTCGGTTCTGGTCAACACTCCCCCTCACACACCATCTTTTACTCCCTTTAAACTTCACTTTCCATCTTTAAATTCTTCTGTCAAGTAGAAATCCTTCCAGATAATTTAGAAATGTCTGTGTAAAGTGCTCATCCACCGCCGTGTGGATAATTGATCATAATTGTACAGCCCGCTGATTAATTATGTTGTTATTCTCATCTTTTGCCAAATTAATGTAAATGTTTGATGTGTTAAACTTGATTCTGTTAATAAATGACCCACTGTCGTGGTGAGTCAAAGATAATTAACGTCTCACGTCCACATTTCATTAAATTCAATGCACGTTTTATTCAGTCCAGAAAAATGAAGAATCCGTTTTAATTGATGAATATATCTCAGCATCTGTTCATCTACATTGGCCTAATCCGTCTCATCAGCGGATGATATGTTGGCGTCAGCAGGATTGAGATGGGGTCGGAGAGGCCAAGATGGGGGTGAGGAAGAGCTCTGTATGCACCGTGTATGGTAGTGTACATGCAGTCTAAAGTGTTGTCTCTCCACATAGGAAAGGTGACATGTTGGTAAAAACTGGGCAGAGTGTCTGTCAGTTTCACGTGATTAAAGTCCCCTGTAACCACGCAAAACACATAAGGGTGCTTTATCTGCAGTGAGCTAATGGTCTCATACAGCTACTTTGATGCTTTGTTAGCATTAGCACCCGGCGGGATGTAAACAATGGTGACGAACACTGCAGTAAACTCCAATGGCAGATAGTACGGCCGACATTTCAAAGTAATAAGTTCTATCGCCTCAAAGCAATAGTTTTTTACCAGTCCACAATTTGTACACCAATCTTCATTCACGAACATACAGAGTCCTCCCGTCTTTTACCCAATCGATGGTCACGGTCCACTCAAAATAACTGAAGACCGTTGATCTGGAAAGCTGAGCCTGGCATGTTGTTGTTAAGCTAGGTTTCTGTTAGGTAAAGCACAGCACAGTTCTTCATCTCTGTAGAAACACTCATCCTCAGATGTAACAAGTCCATTTTGTTATCCAGTGAGCGGACATTGATCAGAAAGAGAGTAGGAATCAGTGGCCTTCTTGACTTTAGCTGAACCAACGTGCCCTCTACTGTTTTCAGGCATATCATTTCCTCTTGACCGTTGCTCCTCGCACTTTGCTGCACCATTCCATTGTCCTCAGGAGCCGCTGTCTGCCGAGTTTGGATTTCAGCCTAGGTGATATTTTAAAAACCGATGGTCTCTGATGGCCATCAGTTCAATTGAGCTGTACTTGAGCCGTGAATTTAGCACTGAATTAGAGCCTAAAACAGCCTCATAGCAATTAAAATAATGCTTAATCTTGGGAGCATGAGAAACCGCTGCACTTCTGTGCACCACCATAAAAAAATTATTGAGGTTTTTGCAGATTTATTAAAAATAGAAAACTAAGAAATCACATTTACATAAGTATTCATAGCCTTTGTCATGAAGCTCCAAATTAAGCTCAGGTGCATACTGATTTCACTGATCATAATTGACATGTTTCTACAACTTAAATGGAGTCCACCTGTGGTAAACTCAGCTGAATGGACTTGATTTGGAAAGGCCCACACCTTTGACAGTGCATGTTAGAGCACAAACACTAAGCATGAAGTCAAAGGAATTGTCTGTAGACCTCCAAGACAGGATTGTGACGAGACACAAATCTGGGGAAGGATACAGAAATATTTCTGCTGCTCTGAAGGTCCCAGTGAGCACAGTGGCTTCCATCATTCATAAATGGAAGAAGTTTGGAACCACCAGGACTCTTCCGAGAGCTGGCCAGCCGTCTAAACTGAGCGATCGGGGGGAGAAGGTTCTTAGTCAGGGAGGTGACCAAGAACCTGATGGTCACTCTGTCAGAGCTCCAGCGTTCCTCTGTGGAGAGAAGAGAACCTTCCTGAAGGACATAAGTCAGGCCCGTACAAAAGCCACTCCTTAAGAAAAGGTACATGGCAGCCCATCTGTATTTTTCCAAAAGGCGCCTGAAGGTCTCTCAGACCATGAGAAACAAAATTATCTGGTCTGATGAAACAAAGATTGAACTCTTTGGTGTGAAGGCCAGGCATCCTGTTTGGAGGAAACCAGCTCATCACCAGGTCAATACCATCCCTACAGTGAAGCATGGTGGTGGCAGCATCATGCTATGGTGATGTTTTCAGCAGCAGGAACTGGCAGACTAGTAAGGATCGAGAGACAAATGAATGCAGCAATGTACAGAGACATCCTGGATGAAAACCTGCTCCAGAGTGCTGTTGACCCCAGACTGGGGCGACGGTTCATTTTTCAGCTGGACAACGACCCAAAGCACATGGTCAAGATCTCAAAGAAGGGTCTTCAGGACCGTTCTGCGAAGGTCCTGGAGGGGCCAAGCCAGAGTCCTGGCTTGAATGTGATTGAACATCTCTGGAGATATTTGAAAATGGCTGCACAGACGTCTCCCATCCAACCTGATGGAGCTGAAGAAGCACTGCAAAAAAGAATGGGACAAACTGCCCAAAGATACGCGTGCTACGCTTGAAGCATCATACTCAAAAGGACTGGAGGCTGTAGTTGTTGCCAAAAGTGGATCCACAAAGTATTAAGCAAAGGATGTGAATACTTACCTAAATGTGAGCTTTTTAATTTTCTATTTTTAATAAATTTGTTAAAAAAAATCTCTCAAATCTTTTTTACATCGTCATAATGGGGTATTGTGTGTAGAATTTTGAGGAGATTCATTTAAAACAATTTGGAATGAGGCTGTAACCTAACAAAATGTGGAAAAAGTGAAGCACCATGAATACTTTCTGGATGCAATGTATTTGTGTTTTACAAAACCTTTTAATCTTTTCATTACTAAATTCTGAAGAATGTGTAAAAAATAGTTATCCTAAGGACTGACTTTGAAGAGTTTGTGTGTGTAAACCAGAAATAATACAATGCTAATCACATTAACTTTTCTATGACATGTTCAAATTAAAGCATCTATGATAAATGAAGGGCAGCAGCCCTAGATTAATAGGTTTATTTAGGCACGTGTTATGCGCTCATAATAAGGTAGAGCAGTATTTATTCATGTAAAATAGACTAGTTATTTCAGTTTAAAGATAATCAAAAAGTATCAATAACATTTTACAATTGTGCATTGTTGGCCTCCGAAATGTATCAAATCAAATTGTGAGGTGTCTATAAAGAATCGTACTAGTAAGCAAAAGTTATGCGTCTTGTCTCACAGAGAAACATTAGAACCATCTGCTAATCCTAGATGCAATGAAAGGCACAATCAGCAAATAATAGGAAGACAGAAAAGAGCCAGGCACCAGAAGTGACTCATGTTGAGCACAAGAAGACAATCCTACACAATCAAAGAAAAATAAATGAACGCTGTGACTAGTAGAAGATGTTAACAGAATATTTTAGTGGTGTGAAAATATCCTACCTCTCATCAAAGGCCAGGTTTCTGTCAGCAAATTGTGTGAGCAGTGTTCTCTCCAGAATTTTCTTCGGGGCCTCGTTTTGTATGAAATAGACAATAACATGCTGTAATCGGTAGTCATTCTCAGGTGATGTGTCCTCTTGGGCAAACCTCAGAAGACGAGCATACTCCAACTTGATGGCCTGACCAAAGATAAAGATGGACAAATAACTCACAAATATTCCTCTTTTTACTTCTTACAATGGCAGCAACCTCAGATTTGTTGCAACAACAAAATCTGCATATATGTGTATATCAGGCATCCAAGTCTATTTAGACACATTTCTCAAAGCAACATTGTTCCTACATTTATTTATTAGATTTATTTAACAGAAGAAATCAATCTTACTTTTTTCTTTAATACTGGTGTTGAGGTTAAAAAGAATTTCATGGTCTCCACATCAGTTGGTTTTGAGGCCTGTGTGACTTAAATGTCACCAGTTTTTTTTTTATTTTGTTTGTTTTTCTCATTGGCTCTAGAACAAGGCGCACAATTTCTCTTCCCTCTCTCTGTTCTCCTGCTTTTTTTGCTCTCTGTCTGTGTATAGGAGCATTTCCTATTTTTACACATCTTCCAAAATGAAAACTACTGTTGTGGATCTGACCAGTTGGACTTTCAAATTCAAGTCAATATAATTCAATTCAATTCAAAAATACTTTATTAATCCCAGAGGTAAATTAAATGTTGCTGTAACTCATCATCCTGGTTTCATTAGAGTTGTTCTAGATGCTGAAGGCTGTGGGCAGGAAGGATCTCTTGTAGCGTCTGTCCTACAGCAGACCTGAAGAAGCCTCTGACTGAAGACACTCTGTTGTTGTATGACAGTCTGTTGTTGTATGACAGTCTGATGAAGAGGATGCTGAGGGTTGTCTATAATGTTCTTCATTTGATGAAGAATCCTTCTTTGTACAATTATCTCCAAAGGTTCTAGAGGAGTCCCCAGAACTGAGCCAGCCTTCTTTATGAGCTTCTTGATCTTTTTTAAGTCTCTTGCTCTGGTGCTGCTCCCCCAGCAGATGATGACGGAGAAGATAGCACTCTCTACAACAGACTTATAGAAGATATGCAGCATCTTGCTGCAAACGTTGAAGGACTTCAGCTTCCTCAAGAAGTACAGTCTGCTCTGTCCCTTCTTGTAGACGCTTCACTGTTGCATTTCCAGTCCAGTCTATTGTCCAGGTGAACCCCAAGATATTTATACTTCTCCATCACCTCCACATATTCTCCCATGATGGAAATAGGGTTGGACTTATTCCTGTTTCTGCTGAAATCTACAATCATCTCCTTTGTTTTGTTCACATTCAAGATGAGATGATTGTTTCCACACCATGCCACAAAGCGGTCCACCAGTTCCTTGTACTCAGCTTCTTGTCCATCTCTGATACACCTGACTACTGCAGAGTCATCTGAATATTTCTGCAGATGACAGGAGTCTGGTTTGTACTGGAAATCTGAGGTGTACAGAGTGAAAAGGAATGGTGAGAGTACAGTCCCCTGTGGTGCTCCTGAGCTACTGACCACCTGGTTAGACACACAACCCTTCAGTCTCACAAACTGTGGTCTGTCCATCAGGTAGTCTTTGATCCAGGCGATTATTGAGGCCTCCACCTGAGTCTTCTGGAGTTTCTGACAAAGCAGATCAGGCTGGATTGTGTTAAATGCACAGGATAAATCAAAGAACATGACTCTCACAGTGCTGTCTGCCTTTTCTAGATGACAGTGAGTTTGCTGAAGCAGGTGTATGATGGCATCTTCAACTCCAAGTCCACGCTGATAAGCAAACTGCAGTGGGTCCTGATATGTGCTTGTTTGTTTAGTCAGGTGGGCCAACAGAAGTCTCTCTAGGACCTTCATGATGTGGGATGTCAGGGCAACAGGTCTATAGTCATTGAGGGCTGATGGGTGAGTTTTCTTTGGCACTGGAACAAGACAGGAGGTTTTCCACAACACTGGAACCTTCTCCTGGGTCAGGCTAAGGTTGAAGAGGTGCTGCAGAACCCCACAGAGCTGCTCTGCACAGACCTTCAGGACTCTGGTACTGACACCATCTGGACCTGCAGGCTTATTCCAGTTCAGTCTCTCCAGCTGCTTCCTCGCCTGACTTCTAGAGATGCAGAGGGGGGAGGCAAAGGAGGCATCAGTATCTTCTGATTTAGTTGAAGACCAACATGTAGAAGAAGAAGGGTCCATGACCGAGGTGGTAGATAAAATATCTGAGGTGTGACAGGACAGACTTGGGTCAAAGGAGGGTGGTATATATATTTGTCTGTGGGCAAGAGAGGAGGATGCTGAGCTTGTTCCTGAACTGAACTTATTGAAGAACGTGTTCAGTTCATTGGCTCTGTCCAGGCTTCCATCCTTCTGATCCTCCTTCTGCTTGAAGCCTGTGATCTTTTTCATCCCTGACCACACCTCTCTGATATTGTTCTGCTGGAGCTTGCTCTCCAGCTTCTTCTTGTACACCTCCTTGCTATTCCTTATCTTGACTTTTAGTTGCTTCTGTGTACTCCTCAATAATTCCGTCTCCCTTCCTGAAGGCTCTTTTTTTTTCTGGTTTAGCAGTTCTTTCAGGTCAGTGGTGATCCAGGGTTTGTTATTGGGGAAGCATCTCACTGTTCTGGTGGGGGTGGTGTTGTTTACACAGAAGTTTATATAGTCGGTCACACACTCAGTCATGACATTGATATCCTCTCCATGTGGCTGGCACAGTGCATCCCAGTCTGTAGCCTCAAAACAACCCCGCAGGACTACTTCAGCTTCCATTGACCATTTTCTCACTGTTCCCTTTATTACAGGTTGTCTCTGAACAAGGGGTTTATATTTTGAGAAGAGAAACACAAGATTGTGATCTGATTTGCCAAGAGGGGGTCTTGCTTTAGCAATGTATGAATCCTTGACATTTGCATAAAACAAGTCCAGCGTTTTGTTTTCTCTGGTAGAGCAGCTGACAAACTGATGGAATGTCGGAAGTGTGGCAGAGAGTGAAACATGATTAAAATCCCCAGATATTGCAACAAACACACTAGGGTGTTGTGTCTGTAGCCTAGCAACCTTGAGCTGATGACATCACATGCAGTCTCTGCAACAGCATTGGGTGGAATGTTAACAGTTGCCAAAATAACACTGGTGAACTCTCTTGGCAAATAATGTGGACGACAACTTAGTGCTAACAGTTCTATATCTGGACTGTAGAGACGACACTTCACAGTAACATGTCCTGGATTACACCATCTGTTGTTCACAAGCACTACCAACCCACCTCCTCTTTAAATCTCTATCTGCTCGTATGGTTAGAAAGCCTGGCAGAGAAACGCTGGAGTCGGGGATATGATCCTGCAGCCATGTCTAAGTGAAACACATAACACTACATTCCCAGTACTCTGGGTGAGTCCATGTTAGGGCCTGAAGTTCATCCAACTTGTTTCTCAGCGATCTCACATTGCCCATCATGATCGATGGAAGAGATGGTTTGAACTTCATTCTTCTTTCTCCCTCTTCTTTGCTCCTGCTCTGCATCCACAACGCATCCTTTTCAACTCATTTGGGATTCGGGGCTGTAGTTGAGATATTATTTGAGCTTTGGAGATGTTAATCAGCTGCTCCCGGTTGTAAAAAAACAACCTTGTTGTTATGGTTACGCATCATAACAAATGTCCAAAAGCAAAGATATTTCTGTAAAAGAAACATATATGTAACTATATATATATATAACTATATAATAAACTACTACTTATTACTAATATTTGGACTACTATCCCTACTTCGCGGTTTTTCACTTATTGGGGGAAAACCTAACCTCCCGTGATCAACGAGGGAGTACTGTATATGCTTTTTTATGATCGTCTACTGCTGTCATCTGTGTTCTTTCTTGTAAATGAGTCCTCGAGGCTCAATGAGACTAACCACCTGTGTAAATAAAGGTTGAATTGAAAACTTCTATTATCAAACAAATAAAATCCTCTACTTGTGCTATCGATCAGTTCCCCTCTGCTCTGCTGAAAAGAAACATCTCTTTCATCAGTTCTTTGATCACATCCAAACTGGTTTTGTCCCACCTACCTTGAAAATTGCAATCATCAAACCCCTTCTAAAAAAGCCTACCTTGGATCCAGCCCATCATGTCAACTAGATTTTCCTCACTCAGTGACACACCCGCTGAGAAGCAGACCCTGCTTATTGGCAGCTCCATGGTCCAAAACGTGGTGCTAGGGACTCCAGCGACCATAGTTAAATGCATTCCAGGGGCCAGAGCGGGCAACATTGAATCATATAACTCTCCCACTGGTACATTTTCATCTTTAAATCACTTCTTGGTCTGTTGCCTTCATACATGTCCTCCTACATGTCTCTGCGTGAGTGCACTCTCAGGACATTATTACCTGCAGTGTCCCCTCAGTGAGGACTGAACTTGGCAAAAGGACTGTCTCCTACTCTGCTCCTGTTTCCTGAAATATATTGCAAAAAGTCCTGAAGCTCTTGACCATGACCTCTCTAAGTGGCTTTAAGAATCTGTTGGACTCCTGGCGGGGACTAATGCAGACATGTTCCTGTTTTTAGTTTTCTACACTTGTCTTATAATCTAGCAGTTTTTGCTACTTTGTTGACATCTTATTTTAATTTGTAAAAAAAAACAAAAAAAAAAACAAAACTGCAGTATGACTTTTTATAACTGTTTATTGTTGTCACTGTTGTCCATTGTTGTCTTCATTCTTTGTTGAAATCAGGTCTCTCTTGTAAATGAGTCCTCAAGGCTCAGTGGGATTAACCTGTCTAAATAAAGGTTGAATGAATATCTGAAACTGCTGGATAAGGCTATGGTTATGGTAAGATTGTTATTCAAGTTGGCAGTAATGACACCCGGTTATGTCAATAGGAGGTCACTAAAATTAATGTTGCTGCTTCAGCGTGTAATTTCTTTAAAACCATGTCGGACGTCGTAGTTTTCTCCGGCCCCCTCCCCAACCTGACCAGCGATGACATGTTTAGCCGTATGTCGTCGTTTAACCACTGGGTGTCCAGGTGGTGTTCTGACAACGACGTGGGCTACATAGATAACTGGAGTTCTTTCTGGGGAAAACCTGGCCTGATGCGGAGAGATGGTATCCATCCCACTTTGGACGGAGCCGCTCTTCTTTCTAGAAA